AAGAAAGGTACAATCAGAAGAAATCTTCCAGTTAAGGAAGAAGCAACCACTTTTTATTAAGAAAGTGAAAGAAGGTTACAGCAAGATCGCCACTGGCTTCTATTCTGAGCCATACCTGATAACGTCTCTAGCCACTGTGTTACACCGTCTCTCGGACCCCAGCCAGGGAGTCGTGAAGGACCAACAGAAGCTAGCCCTTTGCAGCTTTCTTTCATACCACGACACTATGTCATACACTGACCACCTCTACGCTTTTTCCAACCAGTCCCAGAGTCGGCAAATAATGCACGACGTGGAATTCTCTGGGACGACATTCGTAGAACATGTCCAAGCCACCGAAGTCGATGTTTCAAGATGGTGACACCAATGGAATAATAGTCTCTGTGCCCGAAAACACGATGCCGAACCTCTTCATTACTAACATGGTGTTGCCACTGAATGTCAGCAATCCTTCGGAGACAACGATGATCGAACACAGAGAGTCGTCTAACATCCTCAACTCGGAGAGGCCAGGTTTCACAAGCATAGAGCAAAACTGCTTTCGCCGACGCGTTGTAGATCCGATCTTTTACAGCCAGACTGACATCACGAAGGCGCCAAAGATGGACCAGATTGGCATAAGCCGCTCTGGCTTTCACTATACGTGCATTGATCTCACCACTCACGCCACCACCAGCACTTATGCAGCTACCTAGATACACAAACTTCTCGATTACTTCTATCTGCTCACCACCCAGGGTGAGTACAGGATTACAGTTCTTCCAGTCTTGTGAAAGTACTTTGCACTTTGAAGGTGCAAAGCACATACCATACTTACGGATATTGATTGCCAACTGATTAAGTGCGGATTGCATGGCTTGGGCATTCTCGCACAGTAAGACAATATCATCCGCATACTCAAGGTCGAGAAGTCTTTCTAAAGGCAACAGATCTACACCACCATTACTTACATCACTGCCTTCTCGTGGCGGGGGTGTTGTTTACGAAAATGAGAGGACGAAAAGCGAATGTCCGGCGCTATAACCGGATCCCAAATCGATGGTGTACATGGGCTCCAGTATCCTGAAGGAACAAATGGCGTATGAACCAATCGTTGGTCACCGGCTACCATGGGACTGCATCTCCTTACGATGCTCCACTGCCTTGTGGGTCAGACGTTCAGGTCGAAGGGTCGGGGTGTGGCCCCCTAAGAAAATCGCCTGCTTTGGTCTGGGCATCCGGGCAGTATCGCAGCCCTCACACATATCAAATGAGATGTGTGGCGCATATGTATTTGGTGCCTCCTTGTACCAATATCTATGTGTTAAAATAAATAAATAAACATCCGTCAGAGCTGTTTCCAGAATGTCATCGATGGCAAAGTTGAAGAGTAATGGTGAGATTGGGCAACCCTGCCTAACTCCGCTGCTCGAATGGAATAATGGAGAAAGGTGGTTGTATGCCCTCACTCTGCCTGAGGTGTTTGTGTATACGGCTTTTAGTATGTTAATGAACTTCTCAGGCACACCCTTCTTCAATAGATAATCCCAGAGAACAGTCCTATCCAACGAATCGAAGGCAGCCCTGATATCAAGAAACACTACGATTGTTGGCCTTTGATAAGTGTGGCGGTGTTCTATCATTTAGCGGAGGGTGAAGATATGATCAATACATCCTCGACCGGAATGAAACCCAGCCTGCTCCTCGCGAGTCAATCTTTCTCGGGTTTTGAACAACCTACGAAGTATGACGGAAGCCAATAGCTTGGACGCAATCGGAAGTAGACTTATCCCCCGATAGTTGTTACAGGAACAACGTGAACCCTTTTTAAAGATAGGGACAACTATCGACTCATTCGATGACGTTGGTACACTCTCTTGTTCCCAGACATTTGTAAACAACGTCGTCAGTCCCTTAGTCAGAAAGTCACCACCATCTTTAAAAAGAGCCGGAGGTAATTCGTCTGGGCCCGGTGATTTGTAACGCTTCAAGAGTTGGAGTTCCTTGCGGACTTCCGCCGATTTCTTCTCACTTTGATGGAACTTTCTAATCTAACAGCACATAACCGACTGTTAATAGGGATCCAGTCGATTAGTGCTGAGGGGGGATATTTATAGTTTTTATAAATGCCCAACTGATATGCTTTTAGCAAAAACTTCGAATTCTCTCACACAAACTAATTATAGTTTGAGCACATGTTAAATTTTAATCCAAACAGTTAGCAGATGAATAGGAACAGTGGGGTAGAAAGTAAAAAATTGTTGGCAAACGGTAACATGTGAGTGAAGTTCTTAATAAATATAATAAGATGAATTTATAATGTATAATATGCCCTGAAAAAAATTTTGCTTGATATCAAAACGTCATTAAGTTGCTAGTGAAGACGGGATTAAATAAAGACACAACCGTAACTATGCTCCGTTGTGTTTGACCTTAAAGTAGTAAAACGATATCGAAACAAACAATAAAACAGAAGGCACATGTCCTCATCTATCGTCAGATGACTGAAAATATTTCAACAAACGTATGTTAAGGGGGGAAACTGCAAATAAAATCCACGATTTAGTCAACAGAAAGGAAACATCCAACATTTAAATAAGAATTCATGTTGAAGAACATAACTTTTAAAATAAGTTGGTATTTAGTGAAGGATTATGTCAACAAACAAACAAAGATAGTCCGTTATTATTAATGCTACTGATTTCTTTATAGTAGTCCTTAAACTAAGTGTGACATATAAGCCACCCAGAATTCAGAATATGAGACAACGAGAAAATTCGGCCGATTGATGTGATAAAAATATCTACAATCTTAATTGGTTAACTAAAGACAGAGTAAAGTAAATGTCATTTCGATTTGATCAAATAGAGAAAAGCAAATATCCTTTATTATCCTTCACATGAAAGTCATTAATAATAATAGTGTAAAACAAGACCATGGTAAAAAACATTGAGTTGATCTCAACAGAGAATTCAAGAATTAACCGTCATCATCCTTAAAATATCAGAAACCATATCGTTTTTTTCTTATTACATGACTATTTTTTGTAAACAACAACATGAATCAATGTAAAAAGTCTCGTTACAGCAATAAATTACTATACAAACAAATGAAATAGAATTAACATGTGGAAGCTTTTGTTATCATTTCAAATGACAAAATAACACAAAAAATAAAACGTAATATCATCAAAACTATTCATTTGAATTATAAAACGGAAAATTCAAGAGAACTTAATGTATTATCTCATGTAGCAAGTATTTATTTCTTTAAACTGCTTCAGGAATCATTAAGATCATATTTTCTTTCTGATATTAAAGTAGTATTATCTAATCTTACACAAAAATCAATGACCATCATTCTGTCAGTCATCTACAACGTAGGACCAGGCACAAATATGCATCGGTTCAAGTTGCCATACCTCATTAGCACAACAGGATCAAAACCAAATTTATAGAAGCAGTTACTTCAACGGTAATGATAGATTAAAAAAGATTGAGTACAAGAATATGATGTAGGTAGAAAGAATTAGTACGTAGAAAGAAAAATATAGAGTGATTTTAATTTCACGATTTAAGGGAAGACAAAGAGTGTATTCATCTACGCCATTGTGATCTATTCTGAGCCATGTCACCCAGAGTTTCCAACTATCGGTTATGATAGTCGCGCAGACCACAACCAGGTAGTCTGCATCTACCAACATGGCTCAGACTAAAAGTTAGTGACTTTATAGGCCGATGCCACGTTTTGGTTTGGCCGCCCCTAACTTTCTTCCAACCATCCACAACACTAGTCCGCATTGTGCGTCGTGGTAATCGGTGTTCAGGCATACGTAACACGTGGCCCAACCATCTCAGTTGATGAAGATTCACAACCTCATCAACTGATTTACCATCATTCCCTAATACCCTGCGTCTAACCTCACTATTACTTAGCCGGTAATACCAGAAGATGCGAGGAAGATTTCTGAGATATTTGTGATCAAATACTAGTAACTTACAAGTATCCTTTACTCTTCATGGTCACATTTCGCAGCCGTAAAGTAGAACAGAACGAACTGCTGTATAGTATACTCGTCCCTTCATTGATAGACGGGTATCTCGCCTTCGCCATAGGTGACGTAAGTTGACGAATCCCAAACGAGCTTTTAGGATCCATTTAGAGATTTCATCAGACACCAGTCTATTAGGGCTGATCAGACTTCCAAGATAAGTGAAGTTGTCGACACATTCGACTACTTCACTCCCTATTCCTAGTTAAGGTGTTGACGAAGCAGGCCAGTCCTGAAGCAACGACTTGCATTTAGCGGGGAAGATAGGCATACCAAACATACAGGCATTTTTTCTCAATGTTACTAAAAGACTCTGAATTTAATCAGCGTCTTCACCAAACAGGACTGTCATCTACGTATACCAAGTCAATAAATTAACCTACTGGTAGGAGATCAGTTACATGGGATTATGTCCAACTCCCAGGTTTTAACTAAAATATTAGTTAACATAATGGTTTAAACGGGATCACCTCCCTATTTTTAGGGTCGAACTTTTCTAACTCCACCTTTCCTTGTGGGAAGACAGCATCGCTGTTACGCTGGTTGTCTGAATGAAGCACCTTACTGCCGCCACACCTCTGTACAGCCGGCAGTACGACCTCCCTCGGACCTTCGGTTGGCTGCTTTTAGACTTACCCCGCTTCAACTGACCTATCTGGCATGGTATATATATATATATATATATATATATATAGAGAGAGAGAGAGAGAGAGAGAGAGCAAAACATCTAAAGACTTTATTAGTATGTAAAGATATCTCTCTTTTTCATTCACTCTCTCCTACCTGCAGACAATCCATTTTCTCGACGACCTACATGATGATTTGTCTAAATAAAAAAGACGAATATACATACAAGCACACTCTGACCGACCATTATTTATATAATCGTGAATATTAAAAAAAAGCAATGATATAAAACAGTAATAATAACAATAATAAACGTTTTTAGTCAAAATCTCAAACACCTTACCAACTTTCAGTGGAAATCCACTAGGCAATTGTTTGGTAAGAAATTCTTTCAATTTATGAAAGTATGGATTATATTCAGACATCAAATCAATAATCGGTATAATTTGATCTTTCAATGATAAAGGATAATCACGACATATCCATAAACGTGCTTTAAATGTCTTTACTTTTGTTGTCATCACTTTCGGTCGACCAATATCATCTAAATGAATTTGTGTACCAATATTAGGTGAAAAATATTGTTGTGCTGTTATATGATTTGGATTGTAGCTTGCTGCTTCCTAAAGAGAGAAGTAAACGTAAAAAAAAGTTCAAATAATAACCAAACAGGTATACGGAGCAAGAATAGCAGAAAAGTGTAACTAAAAGAAAAAAACAAATGTGGAGAAAAATTAAAGTAGGATGAAAATATTGACAGGGGAAAATAAGTGATTGGTTTCATTAGTTAAGAAGATTGACTGATTAAACTGGAAAAGGGACAGATCAAAATAAATATTATTCATTTTAGAAAAATGTTTATTTATGCATGTACCCAACATTTATATAATATATAAGAATAATGATTGATCTATTAAATAGACTTATAATTTGTTTTGATTATGAAGCATTACCGTCTCTATCCAACTTGTTGATTGATTAATTGAAATCACTTAAATTAGAATAATTATTTTGTTTATTTTTCTTTTAAATGTCACATAATTTATAGAATTTTAATAAGATAAAAAGATATATTGAGTGGAGTAAATAGAGACAAATAGTTAAATATCACCGACACATAAACAACACTGACTGTGATATTCAATTATTGTGGGAGTGAAATTTTAGTTAGAAAATATTCAATCATGAGTAAGATTTAATAGTTTGGGTGATGTAATTAAATTTAGATAATCTGGAAACCTAGAAAGTTTAATTACTTCTATTGCTAAATATTATATCCTACGGAAGAATAAATGGACGGTATCTGCTAGGGATTATTTATGGACTATTATTACACATATCCTTATTGAATAACAATTGAGAAACTATATATATAACTTTTATTTTATTTGAACACATGAATATTGGTAAAAGGGGGGCACCATATATATATATATATATATATATATATATATATATATATATATATATATATATATATATATATATATATATATATATATATATATGCGCCACACAAAACAATGAGAATGGGAAGGGAAAAAGAACGTAGGGTTCATATAAGAAAAAAAACAATAACAACAACAGATTAATATGTGGCAGTGTAATAATAATAATTATAACAACAACAATAATGAGAATGGGGGAAAAAGAAAGGTACAATCAGAAGAAATCTTCCAGTTAAGGAAGAAGCAACCACTTTTTATGAAGAAAGTGAAAGAAGGTTACAGCAAGATCGCCACTGGCTTCTATTCTGAGCCATACCTGATAACGTCTCTAGCCACTGTGTTACACCGTCTCTCGGACCCCAGCCAGGGAGTCGTGACCCGACCGTAGCTGCTACCTTGACGTGGTGGTCGGGCTTGCCTATCGTGATGACCCAACCGAGCTATATTGGCTGGAACACATGTTCCTGCAGGTTCTACCATGCCAGGCAGGTCGATTGGGGAACGGTAAGATTAAAAGCAGCAACTCAAGGTCTGAGGGCGAAGTCGTACTGCTGACTGTACAGAGGTGTGACAGCAGTAAGGTGTTTCCCTCGGACAACCAGCATCTGCAGCGATGCTGCCTTCTCACAAGGAAGAAAGGCGTTAGAAAATGTTGACCTTAAAAATGTCACACCTCACCTTACCCCACGGATTTCCGTCTCCGGCGGTAAGGCCGTTTGAAGAACGGAGCTAACACATTAAAAACCTCCAACAAAAAGGCCGTGTGTGACCGGCCTCAAGCAGTTGTCCCTTGGGCTCTGAGGTCACGCACTCAGGTCGCTAAGACCAACACTAATCCGATTTCCTTTTCAGGTCCCTCAAGAAATACCCTTCCACGGTGTGGGCAACCGGGAAGTGATATCATCCCCCATACCCGTAACAGCACACGAGACCAAGTTGGTCACATTCAAATCCTTCCTACACCTCCTAATAACTCTCTTATCTCCACGACTAACCCTTCTTACGTCCCTTTATCACCTCGCCCCGCTAGTGCGAACGATTCGAGTACGCGGAATGTTATTCCTGGTCTCCTGAAACCACGCTCTAAACTACACGTAAGAGTTCTCAACGTCCGAACACTGTGCCAAATAGGACAACAGGCTTCCTTAGCTAAGACTTTAGAATCTCGCTCCATCGATGTGTGCTGCGTCTCCGAAACGCGCACACAGGATCCTAGTAGTGTTATTCATTTGACCGCACCATGTCAAAGTAACGAACCAACTCGATTTACGCTTCGTGTATCTGGAAGCCCTGATGCTGCTTCCCGTGGCCTCGCTGGCGTAGGTATAGCATTGAGTCCTAGGGCAGAACTAGCTCTCTTAGACTGGATCCCAGTAGACAGTCGTTTGTGTGCTGTCCGACTAAACGGAACAGTAAGGACTCGAAAAGATAGGGACACTCGTCGTTGCCTCTTCGTCGTCTCTGCCTACTCTCCCACTGACTGCAGCTCAGATAATGTAAAAGATGAGTTTTACAGAAAGCTTTCCGACCTTCTCCGAAAAGCTAAGCGCTCTGATGTAGTAATAGTGGCTGGGGACTTTAATGCTCAAGTAGGTAAACTAAGCGAAGGGGAAAGACACCTGGGTGGATCTTATGGTGTCGCGGTTCAAAGAACAGATAACGGCGACCGTCTGTTGCAGCTATGCTCAGATAACCGCCTGTTTCTTGCAAATACTAACTTTAAGCATAAGGAAAAACATCTTTTGACATGGCGACCCCCTAATTCGTCTCAACGCTGGACCCAAATAGATCACATCGCTATCAGGCACCGATGGAGGGGCTCGATAGAAGACTGTCGCTCATTCTGGAGCACATGCTTAGACTCAGATCATGCTATAGTGCGAGCGCGTATTTATCTAAGTCTTACTGGACGTAGGAAAGATGGTGCAAGGAAACCCCTTAGGGTCCTACTTAACGATAGTCAAGCCAAGAGTATATTTCAGGAACAACTAGAGAAACAGTTAGGCAGCTATGTAACTGATGCCCACTCCGAGGCAGCGTGGAATGACATCCGAAAAGCTGTAGAAACAGCAGTGATGTCAGCAAGTACGGTAAACCATAAGGTTAGGGAGAAACACTGGATCTCAGCAGCATCTACCGCACTGATAGATGCTCGAAAACTCTGAACATAACGAAGAGCGGAGTCAGCTTAAGCGTAAGCTGACTAGAAGCCTACGCAAAGATCGTGAACAGTGGTGGGTAGCGAAAGCAAGAGAGATGGAAAAGGCAGCGGCAATAGGTAACAGCAGGCAACTGATCAGACTTGTTAAGGAAACCGGTATTAGGAACCCAACTGTTAGCGAAACAATCGCAGAGAAAGATGGACATATTATTCATTCTCAATCCAGGAGATTGGATCGATGGGCAGAATACTTTAGGGATCAGTTCAACTGGCCTTCAGCCACACTTCGGTGTCCCACGATCTCCAGTCGACCTGAATGGCAAGTTGATGTAAGTCCTCCGACTCTTTACGAAGTTGAAAAAGCTATAGGAAATCTGAAGCGTGGGAGAGCAGCAGGCCCTGACAGGATTACCCCTGAGGTTTTTAAGGATGGCGGTCCAGTATTAGCAGCGAGATTGACTGAAGTCTTAGGTAGAATCTGGGAACTGGACGTAATCCCATCTAACTGGTCTCAATCACTGATTGTACCAGTCTATAAGAAAGGACAAAAGTCCTCCTGTGACAATCACAGAGGAATTATTTTGACTAATATAGTGTCTAAAATATTAGCTCCAATAATACTTCGATGTCTAACCAAAGCTCGTGAAGAGCAGACTAGAGAAAACCAGGCTGGTTTTCGACCTGGACGTGGTTGTATAGATCAAATATTCACACTACGTCAGGTTCTAGAACATAGACACACATTCAGACGCCCCACAATGATAGTATTTCTCGACCTTAAGGCGGCATTTGACTCTGTTGATCGAAAGGTTCTATGGCAGTGTTTGTCACTGAAGGGAGTACCAAAGAAGTACATTAACCTTATAAAGGCTCTCTACTCGAACACAACTGGTCGAGTGAGAGCTTATAGTGAACTGTCATCAGAATTGATTACCTCAAGTGGTGTTCGTCAGGGCTATCCACTCTCTCCATTCTTGTTTAACTTTGGCGTTGACGTCCTTTTAGAGATGACACTTTCCTCATCTAAATTTCCAGGAGTTGAACATCTACCGGGAGATCCACTTGTTGACTTAGAATATGCCGATGACATAGTTCCATTTGGTGAAGACGCTGACAGAATGCAGAGTCTGCTGACCACTCTAAGCAACAAAGCAAGCATGTTCGGGATGCGATTTTCTCCCTCGAAATGCAAAATGTTGCTTCAGGATTTGGTTACATGGACACCCGAACTAATGATAGGGAGTGAAGTAGTTGAGCGTGTCGACTGCTTCACTTATCTCGGAAGTCTCATCAGCCCTTGTGGTTTGGTGTGTGACGAAATCTCAGCACGGATACAGAAGGCTCGACTAGCTTTTGCCAACTTGCGTCATCTATGGAGCAAGCGAGATATCCGTCTACCAACCAAAGGATGGGTTTACTGCGCAGCAGTTCGTTCCATCCTATTTTATGGCAGTGAAACATGGCCAGTAAGAGTAGAGGATATTCGTAGGTTACTAGTATTCGATCATAGGCGTTTTGGAAGCATTGCTCATATATCCTGGGACCACCGAGTAAGTAATGCAGTTGTTATGAAACGGGTACTAGGTAAGGATGACGAATCAATTGATGAAGTAGTGAAACTTCATCAGTTGCGATGTCTGGGACACGTGTTACGCATGCCCAACCATCGAGTGCCCCGACGTGGGGGTGTTTTATGGTGTAGGAGTAGGTTGGAAGAAAGCTAGGGGCGGTCAGACCAAAACATGGCACAAGTCCATGAAGTCACTGACAAGTGGACTGAGCCATGTTCGTAGGTGTAGACTACCTGGTTGGGGACCGCGAGACGATAGCAACCGATGGTTAGAGACCTTGAACGACATGGCTCAAAATCGTTTGCAATGGCGCAGGTGCATCCACTCTTTGTGTTCTCTCAAACTCTAATCTTCTGAATTCTTCATGTCCTTTATTTTCTTTCCAAATTTATTCCACTGGACTATACTCCTTTAATAACATCATCAAACCTAAATGTCCCCTA